GGCTGCCAACTCTAGCTCTTCTTCAACAATGGTGGCTGCCAACCTTTGACATCTTGAATGGGTGCACATAGTTGGTACAACTCCAGCTGCAATAGTCAATGGTTGTTGCACATTAATGGCAACCAACCTAACAGGTACTTCTCTTATGAGATGTTTTAATGGCTTACTGTTCCTTACAACATCATTCTCAGTTTTCCTGAAAGCTTCTATAGGAAACAGTTTCATTTTCATGCAATTCCAAGTTTAATCAAGTTCTTGCTTCTTAATGATAGAAATGGAGACCAATTTTGAAGTCAACCTCTGAAACTTCATCTTTGTATTGCCTGAACATTAGCCCTCGGAGAATTCCATTTTCTTTTATTTGTGTGCTGCTCGAAGATTTTTAAGCCGAGAGCCCTCTCTGCCTAGACTACTGGTGTCCTGTATGGACTGCTTGTGGGCTATATGGTTGATTTAACAGTTAAACAATGCCTGCCACTCTTTGGAGGAGGTCATCTGGCCTTTCTTCCTGTGTTACTTGGATGTATAGCTTAGAAATGATTGTTCTTCTGTACCAATGCTTAACACTGCTGTTGTTTGCACTGCCTTCGGTTTGAAATTATTGTGCATATTTTGAGTGTCCTCATTTGACCAGGCATATGCTTCAGAAGTTTGCCGTAAAGAATATCAAGCTCTGGGAATGTCAATTGTAAGAGAGCCTCAACTCTAGATTGTTGAAGAATGCTTGTAGTTTAACATGAAATATCGAAAGGAATGTATTTGTTTCAGATCAGCACATCATGGGGTATTGGATTAGTCATTGGTCCTGCTCTTGGAGGATTTCTTGCTCAGGTACTTCTTGATACACCCTGACAATTCAAAGACAACGTTAAAAGATGATTTTGACGCAGCGTATAGCGCTAGAGTTTCTTAATTCCTGAATTCTTACAGTTCTAGGCTATGGAGAAAGAAACCAGAGCTATCAAGTTCTGAAGTTATTATGAGAAAACTTTGAAAATTTAGAGTTTCTAAAAAAAATTTCTTTTCATAAATCTCAAGAAAAAACAAAAACACTATATAGAGATTAAAACTGATCAAATCAAAAGAATCTAAATCTAAATTGAAAAAATAATTAAAATTGACTGAAAATAATTAAAATAACATCTTTTATATCTGATTTGAAGACCTTTTAAAAACGAATCAACCCTCATGTAGAATTAGACATGTAAAATCTCATCATCAAACTTGAGCCCGTCTAATAATTGAATATGAAATTATAGTTGTTATTGTCAAACTACGTGTTTAATTTCTTCATGTACTTTGACTTGTATATTTAATCTATAAACACATCCACATGTTACACATCATATATTAGTATTAATCGTGAATTGTAATGAAATTTCCTATAAAGTACTTGTACTGAAATCATCAAACTATTTATCAAAGAGATGAGATTTCTCTGTTTAATTCAATTAAATTACTTATTTATCAATTAACCTTGGAAGTGTTGATGTTGTAGCCCGCAGAGAAATATCCAAACATATTTTCTACCGATTCTCTTTTCGGAAGGTAAGCATTAGTGTTTCTAGTGTTCATATTTCATTCCTTATTGTAACAATCTTTTGCCTTTCATTTCTGCTACTCTCCTCAACTTGGATGGCATTGCAGGTTTCCATACCTCTTACCTTGCCTTTTGATATCAATCTTTTCTCTAGGAGTAATTGCCGTTTGTTGCTTGCTTCCGGTATGTTGCTTCTCGTCCGATTCTCACTGGTTAATGCATCGATAGTTTACTATTCACTGCTCAGAAGCTTAAGTGTGTTGATTAGATATTCTCAACACATATCTGTTTGTTCTTCTTATCAGAGCTTCATATAGCTTAACATGGAGCCTGAAAATTTCTGCAGGAGACACTGCACAGTCATGTAGGAAATGGCGAAGAGTGCAATGATTCTGTAGCGCTTGGGGCGGCTGCATTCGAGTCTAACTCTCCTCGGAAAAGCCTACTGAAAAATTGGCCCTTGATATCATCTATTATTGTGTACTGTGTGTTCCAACTTCATGATATGGCCTATGCAGAGGTAATATTCACTAATAATACTAAGCTCGTTCACCTAGAGCATATTTCCCTTCTGGGAATTTTTCTTTTCTAAATAATTTGTATTCATTAGCAAACATGCTTGATCACAAACTGGTTATTTTCTGACCACAGATTTTCTCATTATGGGCTGTTAGTCCTAGGAAGAATGGAGGATTGAGCTTTTCCACTGCAGATGTTGGTGAAGTTCTTGCATTTTCAGGTAGTAGATACCAGCCAGCATCATATAATTGATTAAACATATAAAATTTTGTCCCTTGTCAGGTTAACAATATCAATTCCAACGTTGTCAGATGTTATGCATATATCACTCACTTCATCACTTTGTGTTTGGTTAGTGTTCAAGAACTGAAGGGACATGTATAAAGAGGCAGGAACATGTATAGTTGAAGAGATATTTCTGTACTCTCGAGACATGTCCCTGCTATTTCTTTTTTTTCTTTTTTTTATCTGAGACAGAAACCGAAAGCTATAGATGTAGGCTTGTCATTAGTTGTGACTGTGCATTATTGCTTCACTTTCTTTTTCCATTAATTTCCTTTTTGTCTTC